TTTATTTCACAAATAGTTCTATGATGGGAAAATGAAAGAACAAGAGGGCAGAAGAATTTTTCCTGTGAAATGTTGTTGAAATTCTTTCTAAGTACCTGACAAATTTGCTGGCTTGATTCTGCAGTTAACACACAAAAACTGGCACAGTATTGCTACTGTGGTTAATTTTAAAAGGAACAAGATCATGCTCTGGTACTTGACACATCTCTAAGAGCAACATCATGACATTGTTGACACTGAATGTTCACTAATGGCATTGGTTGCCAAACTCCAAAGTAAAATGAGTGGGACATAACAACAGCAGCTTTTTTTTAAAAACTTCATTCAAGGGAGCATTTAAAATTTTATCAGATCTTCCTGGCACGCTGGTAATTTGCAGACATGGAGGGTATCCAGTCTCCACTGCTTACCCACAAGCTTCAGTGTGCAAGTCAAGTGCAGCTAAGTCCCCAGAGGCAGGAAAACCCTGAGGTACAGCATTGGAGTGCATATGTAAACAGAGAAACATCTGTTCTACCAGTATTATGGTACCTTATTGATCTAGTTCAAGGATTTATCTTCTGTTTTCCCTTTAAGCTTAAGCACACTTATTGGGCTATTAATGTTTGTAAAACAGTTGGAAAGATATTTTAGAGCAGATCCCTTTATCTTTTCAATCAGGGTACTTACCATAAAATAAAATGAAAAACAAAGTTGTGTAAATAGATGTAGCCGGGGCCAATTAATCAGCAGCCAATTGTCTATCTGCAAAGACATAATCAGAGAACAATTGCTCCTTGTCTAGCCAGGAAAATTGTACTGCTTTAACTATTCTGGTATACTTAAAGGAATCTCTCTCTCTCTTTCCTCTTGGTCTTGGTGTGGCAAACTATGTTCTGTGCCAGCTTTTCTCTAGTTGTGAAGTTGGAAATAGGAGTCAGCATCAGAACAGAAGTTGCATCTCTCTGTGCTGTTCTTTTCTCTCCTTTTCTGTGTGTGTGGATCAGGCTCCGATAATAGCAGCAGCACTGACAGCTCCAGCACATCTGAGTGTAAGAGGTGCCGTTGAAATAAAAATCTTGCTTAACGTTTTTAATGGTAATGGATTTACTGTGAGACCAAGTATCCCAAGCATTGAGATCTGTTTACTCAAACACCTGAACTTGAGGTACAGACAGAAGTGACAATGTTTGCCCTATCTGGCCACAGAAAGCAGTTTATAACCATGACCAAACACAAGTGCACAGCTGCAGACCATTTAAAAATGGCTGACTGAGTGAAAATCTGAACCCTCATTGCATGAGAGGTCTGATGAAGATGTTTCAAAACACTGCATCTTCTGTAACTTGTATCTGCCTCCCTGCCAGCCTGCAAAGCTTCCAGAATGGGAGGGGGAAAGGAAGTGGAGAGAGTTTGGTCTGGAGGTTTTTCAAGCCCCACTGGAGGGTGAAGCAGGTGTATTGGAGTCCCCTGCCCCTCCTGATCCTACCCCCTAGTGGGTAGGATCCCCTCGCCTCAGACTTGCCTCACAGGGGATCCTACCAACCAGTGCCCACTGAGTTTATGTTTGCTTTTCCAAAATCCAGTGTCCTTATTCTGTTGCTCCTCTTTCTTCCTTTCTCCCATTAGGATCTTGAAGCCTATCATTTCATAGATTCATAGATGTTAGGGTTGGAAGGGACCTCAATAGATCATCGAGTCCGACCCCCCGCATAGGCAGGAAAGAGGGCTGGGTTTAGATGGTCACTGTCACCCAAGTTACCCTCCATCTTCACATTCTCAACCAATGCTCTTTGTTTCTGAGCAGTAAATCAAGAAGAGATTCTACCTAGTTGGCCTCTCTACCTTCTGTATAAAAAAGTTCCATAATTCACTATACTTCCAGAATAAGTTTATTAAAGTTTTCTTATAATCATTCTTTTAGGCTATTTAATTTTTTTGGGCCTACCTTGATCCCTCAGATGATATATAAGGATCAGCATGAGAGTTTAATCAAATATGAATTTAGATGGATCACAATATGCATAAATTGACATTAGATAGAACCTGTTTCTCATTGTAGATTTATTCTGGGGGTACCTGCCCCCCATTTAGGTCCTGTTCCAGATCTGCATTCTGGCTGAAGATTCTTCTCTTCAGGCCTTTGATGTCAGGACCCTTTACCATGATTGGAAGGCCTTTCTGCAATTTTTTCAATAGCATGTGTTTTTTTATCCTCCTTACATTATACTTGTGATTAAATTAGCATGTTAATCATGCCATAAATAGTAACAATGCTACATGTGCAGCTGATTTATGGTACCATAAAATGACAAAACAGCCATGAAGATATTCCACAAAATATGTGGTTTATTTGTATGGTATCACAGAATCATAGAATCAAAGGACCAGAAGGGACTTGCATAATGATCAAATCCGGTCCTCTGCCATGGGCAGGAAGTTATTGGGCTCAAACAAGCTCAACTAGGTGCTTATCCAGCCTCATCTTGAACACCTCCAAGGATGGCGACTGCACCACCTCTGCTGGGAGTATGTTCTAGATTCTGGTAACCCTTACGGAAAAAAAGTTTTTTCTAATGTCCAGCCTAAATTTTTCCTCTATTAGCTTGTGCCCATTGGTCCTCTCCCCTAGATCTTGATGTTCACCTCTAATGTACTTGTAGGCAACTATCAAGTCACCTCTCAGTCTTCTCTTACTCAGATTGAACAGGCCCAGTTCTTGGAGTCTCTCCTCATAAGACCTTTCCTCCAGGCCCTTAATAGGATGCGTGGCCCTTCTTTGTACCCTCTTGAGCTTATCCACATTCTTCCTGAAGCGTGGTGCCAAGAATTGGACACAGTACTCCAGCTGTGACCTCACCAATGCCAGAGAGGGAGAAGCACCTCCCTGGATCTATTGGTATCATTAACTGAATGTGTAGCAACCTGCCCTGTTCTGACAATCATTGACAGAATTGGCATGGGGGAAGCAGTCAGCATCAGGACTAAGACAGTTCTGCTCCTTGCCAAAAGTGAACTGCCAGAGGAATGGGTTGCAAGGTTCTCCAGTAAAGAGAGATGAGAGGCTCCTCCCTCTAGGAATCTGGCAATGTTATGCCCTGCAGTACCCCTGCAGGCAAGGCACTTCTTAAGTCATGGGGAACCCTGGGGCTCCCTGTGATCCAGAGAGCTGACTGCATTGTCCTGCAGGGTCTGGGCAGTTTTTTGGGCTGGGCTGGGCTGGGCTGGGCTGCATGTATGGGACCCTGGGATTAGAGACCTGATCCTGGGATTGCCATGCACCATGGTAGCAGAAAACTGCATGTGCAGCCCAGCTGCACACACCATTTTAAAAGGTCCTCAAGTTCTGGGCTGTCAGAAAACCATGTGTGCAGCTGGACCAGTTGCACACGTGTCTTTTAGATGTCCACTGGGAATCTTGGAGTCAGAGAGAAACTTGGGGAGAGGCTTGAGGAAAAGATCCCAGGGTCTTGGTGGGGGGGCCCATAGATTTGCAGCCTTCAGGTGGGGGGAGCCCCAGGCTCTCTGCTAGTAGTGGTGTATTTGGGATGTGATCCTCATTCCCAACAATTGTGCCTCTTGCTATGCATGTATGACATGGCAGGAGGCACAACTGTTTGGATTAGGGATCAGATCCCATCTTGTTCTGGGGAAGCAACTCTTCACAGGAAAGGACCAATGGTCACAATCTAATAGAGGGAAGATTTAGGCTTGACATAAGAAAAAACTTTTTTTCTTTAAGGGTTACCAGAATCTGGAACACACTCCTAACAGAGGTGGTGCAATCACCATCTGTGGAGGTGTTCAAGATGTGGCTGGATAAACACCTTATTGAGCTCGTTTGAACCCCAAAACTAGCCTTCCAACTCCCTAAGAATATGCAAAGATAAAAATAGGGGAGGTACAAAAATATGCAATACTGTCCCCACCATTCTAATCCAAGCATTGTTATAGCTTTTCAGTTGATCAGGGAATCACATAGGTTTTATCAGTGGTGCTCAACCTTTTTGGCCAGTGAGCCAGACAGCCAGTACTTAGGCCATCCAAAGGTCAGAGCCAGATGGTGACCCTGATCTGGCATGGGACGGTCACAGGAGGGTCCTACTGGCCACCCAGAGGTGGACAGGGTGCAGCCTGACTCCAACTTGGCCGTATGGGGGGCAGGCAGGAGTGTGGCTTGGCCCTGCAGGGGAAGGGGGCACAGCCCAGCCCCAATCCAGCCTCATGTGGGGAAAAGGCATGGCTCTGACCAATCCAGCTATGGGAGTGGAGGGTGAGGCATGATTTGGCCCCAGCCTGCTGCAGGAATTTGGCAGTGTTGGAGGGTGGCCATATTCATTGCCACTGCTCCCCCACTTACAAATTTCCCCGTCCATAAGGGGCCCCAGGAAGCAGATACCTATGACTCTGTGGACTGCTTTTGACCCACAGGCTGGAGGTTGAACACCTCAGGGTTACATCAACAACTCTATTTTGAGGTAACACTAAGGTCACCTTCAGCCATGCAGGCTGCCCCTGCTACCTTTCTGATCTGAATATATGAAGTAAAAAAGAAAAGACAAGTAGTGGGCAGACTGATTCCTAGAAGGACTCTGTTTAACGTTTTGTTTTTCTCTAGAGGACCCCTTCTAGGAATCACATACACTACTTGTATCTCGACCTGTACTTTCATTGTGGGCAGTAGAAGCAGGAGGTGGTACACAGAAGGGCCACTGGTGGGCATCTTGCTTAGCATCAATGAGTTCTGACTGTACTGTAGCCTCCATCTGGCTAGATGGAAGCCCAGCCTTGGACTCTGATGATCAGGTGAGCATGTGGAGGGGGCTAGACTGCTTGTGGGGAGCAAGTCAAGGGTTTTTAATGTAGATGGGTCACTGAGTTTGGTTCTACAGATGTATCATATGGCAATCAGAGTGGTATAGACGTGTTTGCAAAGATCTGTAATGAAATATGCAACCAAATTAAATTGAAACAAAAATGAAAAAGGACTTCATTTAAGTATCATTTTATACCTCTTTTATTTCTCTAATTTAGAAAGTGAGAAGCCAAAGCCAGGTCATAGCCACAAATAAATGCTTAGCTGGATCACAAAAAAGTCCATTTAATGAATTGTTACTTAAATAGGATTGTGTAAAGAACATATCACTTTCTTAAATTATTTTTACTGCTGATTTGAATTTTATAGGAAAATATTTGTATTTGCAGAATATTATAAAAAATAGAAGACTGTAGAAAAATTTCCAGTGTTATTTAGTTAATGGAACTGAAGTTGATGGCACAAAAGAAAAGAAACTTCTTCTTACCAATATATTGGTGAAATGTAAATTTTGTAACTGACATGGGACAGAAGTTCTATATGTTTTTATCATCAGATTTCTGTAAATCTAAAATTGTGAAGCTGGAATTTTTTTTAATGTTCTGTCTTTACATATTACAGACACACTGTAGTTCTGAACTGATATACTGAACAATCTATAAATGCTTTTCTATTGAATTTTATCAACATATGGCTATAGCTCTCCCAAGGTTATTCTGACTGAAACAGATATGCAGGATAAAATCTTAAGTAACTGGAATCCATGGCAGTTTTCCCACTGAGTTCACTGGGGCAAACATTTCCCCCATAATCTTTTAAATGCAGAGATTACATGCAGCCCTGGCTGCTAAAACTGTGTTAAGATCTCTGGAGTGGAGCTGGATGGATACTTTTCAGGGCAAATTCTCACAATTTGCATAACTAGATGCCCTTCCTGAGTGATAGCAGCTCAGACCTCTGTAAAATCTGGAATGTAAGTGAATGTTGTGTTTTAGATATTTAAATATTATGTGTTTGCCTACTTCATAAATAGCGTACACTATATATTTTCATTTAACTGACTTTTAGAAGTGTTGCACAACTATAAAATGAATAATCAGTATCCATTATATTGTGTATACCTTGCAAACATACATACATACAATAAAAATATTACTAAGTTGGTAACAGAAAGTAATGCTGGTCTATGATTTAATTTCTTCCAGTTGCTTTAATTTTATTAACATTTGCCATATATTAGCCAGTCATTTTTTCACTGTGAATGACTGTGTTCACCTCACTCATGGTAATCCACATGTCCTTGTATGTTACTCATTTCAGTTGCAATAGCTTCTTGTTTTTGCCTTTTTTTCTTGAAGTAGCAACATATTGCACATCCCGTTCCTACTAGAATAAGGACCAAAACAACTACGAACCAATGAATGCTGGTGGAAGATGTAAGAACACCTTTATCCATTTTTTCTCCTGCAAATACACAAAAACTGCTATACATGTGGATGATATTACAGATAGCAATATTCTGATAGTGATATCTCTAAACCAAAGTGATATCTGTAAATGTAATTCTACAGGAAGCACGTTAAACATACATGTTCTAAATCCATAGAGATATTTTGCTAACAGAAACAAAAAAGGAAAAATAAAAGGTTATATTAAACCAATTTAACTTCATATTAAATCATTTTTCTGCATTTATATAAAAATAAAGATATTGTTTTTATTATTCAGGAATGCTTTTAAAATAATTATACTGTCCCAAAACTCATTCTAAATAATTATGCTTTTATTGTATTTAGGAATTGCCTTAATTTTCTTTAAAGGAAATAAATCCTACCTTTATTCTTTGGTTGTTTCTCAGTTAGTCCAGCATCAATAACTTTTAAAAAGAAAACAAGTAAAATATTTATGCTGCATGATCTCAAGTAGATTCAACCATAAAATCCTGAAAGCACCTACTTCTACGTTCTACATGCTTTTTATGCCATCGCATAAGATGCAACTGAGAATGCATGAATTTCTAAATGGCTAATTTTGATAAGCATGTGAATATTTTCAACCAAGATATCTGGCAGGGAATCAAGTTCTTGCAGGTTTTCCAGTATGTCCTGTATCAGGCTCTGGTACTTAGAAGTACATAAGCAGTTTCTGAAAGCACAATTTCCACTAGGCCTGTGCGAAGCAGCAAGTATTTGCTTTGGATTTGGATTTGGCTGATTTGGAGGACAGTGATTTGGATCTGGAAATTCAAAACACTGTCCTGATTCAATTCAGCCAAATCAGATCCAAAAGATTTGGCGCTGCTTCAGCTAGCTGGGCAAGCAACAGCAGGGCAGAGGCCCCGCTCCAAGCATTGCTGCACCTGCATCCAGTGCCTCCTCTGCCCCCCTCCCCAAGTAACATGCCGCCCGCCCCCCGGCCGCCCTGACTGGGGAGCTTGTCCCAGCCCCAGGCCCAATCCCTCCCTTACCCCTCCCCAACAGACTTACCAGCTGGGGGCAGCTATCAGCTGCCTGTTTAGTCTATGGCTGAATCTCCAAATCTTTTCTACATTGATTCAGAGCTTTTAATTAGTCTCAAGATTTGATTCGGGTTTGGAGATTCGGTCCCTGAATTGAGCCAAATCTCCTCCAAATTGAATTGGCTACTGAAGCTTCACACAGCCCTAATTTTCACTATCCAGATGATACATTCCAGCACACTTCTCATTTTTGAAGGCTCTCCTTCATTCCAGCTGAAAAAAGTCTACTAGAGGTTTGTTTACTAATAACTACTGAGATAATGTTAAAAACACATTCAGAAAGTGCACACAGGCAGAACTGTGGCTTCAGTTGGGTGATAAATATGGGATAGGTCCTTGCTTGTAATACCCAGGGGAAGGGACTTCCTGAGTCATCAAGTCTAGTTGCTCATGTTGCAGGCAATTGGGTTATATAAGGTCTTTTGTAAACTGATTAAAGTATTGGGGCATTTCTGTGATATCTTTTATTTGACCAACTAAATATTTGGAAAAATTGTTCTTTGCAAGTTTTCAGACACAAACACAAGCTTTCAGCCACATCATTTATTAGTTGGTTTAATAAAAGATATCGTATCTACCCAAAGAACCTTGTCTTCCTATATGCTTAGATCAACACAGCTACAACCAACAACCCTTAGGGGATTTCTAGGTAATTCAATAACCAAATTAAAAGATAAACATTACAAGTTCACTAACCTTTTCCAATTCACAAAATATATTTAAGTTATGTTCTGAAGGGAGGTACCAGTTGAGTCTCTCCCATTTAATCAAACAAATACTGACCCCTTACATTTCCTCCAAAAAACATCTATTCTAAGACTCGGCTAACATTTTGGCAAACACTATTATCAGAGACCCTATTGGACCAAAATCATAGCATGCTACAGAAATAGCATAACTGAAATACAATTATGAACCTCATCTCCATGGAGGTTGATCCTAAATCACAGCAAGATTTTTTTCCCCTAAAATTTAGGAGGAGGTAAAAACAGACTTCTTGCTTCAAACTCAGAAGTTTGGGGTTTTTTTGCTGAAATCTTGGCCTCGTGGAAACCAATGGAAGTTAAACTAGCCTGCCATTAAGCCTATAATATGTCTATGATTTCTTTAGACATGCACAAATACATACGCTTTAGTTATTCTTAAAAATGTTATATGATATAGCACAAGTTTTATAGAATACTTTTGCAGAAATATCATGAACATAACTCTTATGTATTGTAAATATTAATAGTGTAACTTGAGAGGGCGGAGCACAAGCCCTGGGTGCCAATGCAACAGAGGCACCAGAATAGCAGCCCTCAGGGATCCTGCACTTCCACCACAGTCCAGGTTGGGGAAGCTTGCATTAAGAAAGCAGCAAATTGTACTGCTACTACCACTCTAGCCCCCACATGAGGAGGTAAGGACTCACACATACATTCCTACATCACCCTAGGTGCTAATATTTAAAGCTATACTTAAGTATGTACTTACTCTTTGGTTTTTTACAAATATATCCTTGTTTCTGAGAACATGGATCACTAATCCAGTACCCAAGTGATGCATATACTTCAATACAGTTTTTCTCATGACTTGTAAGTTCTTTTTTCTTCCAGTTGACAAAATCCACTGGAGTCTTGCCTTCCCATATCCTCTGGCCTAATATTAAAAACAAGTATTTGGATAATATGCCTGTTTAGACACATTTAAAATGTCAAAAAACATTTTTGACAGATCCAGCATCATAGCTAGTAATAGAATTCTGCACTTTGATTTTGGTGCGTGTGTGTGTGCATGTGTGTATGTTATAATGTTTTCACTTAATCACCAAACAAATTGTCACTGCTAGGTCAACTCTAACATTAAGTAACATCTCTCATTCCATAATCTTCAGCCTTGTGCAGTTCTCAAAGCTGGCTTTAGATTATCTTTCCTGAAAATAAAGACTATACTCTCATATCTTGTTTGCAAACTAAGATCTTAAAAAGCTACAGTGATTGGCTTCTGATTAACAGATACTAATTGTCATTATTATTTCTGTCAAAGAAAATTTGTATTATATAGAGGTGATCATTCTCTTCTATTTCCTTTACTTATTTCTAGTATTTTATTCATCCTTCTCATTTTATCATATTTTTATCCTGAAATCCATACCTAAATAAATATTAGTTATAATCAATTAACTAAACATCAACCATGTAAAATATTCTTCTCTAATTTCTTCGTAGAACATTTTTACTTTCTGAAAAATATCTGCCCAAACACTTTAATGACAGTGATGTACACAAACATATAAATATATAAACAAACAAACAAATGAAAATGTGCAAGATTGTCTCCCAATATCTGTCCTACATAGTAAAGATATATCTGAGATAATAGTCTAATATTAATTTCCTCATAATATGCAAGATCCGAAATGCATACAACCTATTTTGCCTATTTACAGGCAATAGTATTACATGCTTAAATTAAGAAATTACCTTTCACATTATGGTTCATTCCTATCCAAAACCTTTTTCTTTCTTTTTTAAGTGACTTTATGCTATCTGACAGAAAGACGGATTCAGCATGGTCTTCCACAGAAACCAAACGAGCACCTGAAAAGCATTAAGGAACAAGACACAATATAAGCTTTAGCCTGAAAAAAATATCTTGCCTTTTTGAAGCATCATGATAGCATATATTCTTAAGTTGTATGGTTAATTTAAATCTTGAGAGGCACACTACTGATTTTTGCACAAACTATCCATTGTGGTCACGTCAAACCTATTTGTGTGGGACCCCAGAGCCCTGAGTTTCTCCTCGATGTGCTGCTCCAAGGAATAGACAAACGTTGGCTTGAGATAACTCCCTATCTAAACACCTCTGTTCCTCTGCCCTTATACTAGACTGCAGCTACAGTGAGGAATCTCTGCCTGCTCCAGGTGGCCACCACTGATGGTTATGGGCCTCTTTCTGGGGGGGTGGGTCAGCCTGGAATATCACCTGCCCAGAAGTCACTGCTTTCATATGCAACCATTAAGGAGACAAACAAAAGGATTTATTACATAAGATGAAAGAATTATGCAAACAAAACAGATTATAGGTTTAGAGATAGAAATGGAAAACAAGTACAGATTTTTATCCTCTCATCTGGCTACTGCTAGCCTCCCCTGAGAACCCAGGCCAGCATTCTAAAAATCAGC